GATGAGAGTTCCAAGTTTGTCGGGTTTAGAAGATTCGACGGTTTTCAGATAGGTTTCGAAGGTACGAAACCAGTGATTCCAGCGTTTTGCTGCCATGTAAATTAGTACATGCTCATGTACGCTTGTTCTTAGACAAGTAAATTGAGACGTTTAGAAAGAGTCCGAGAGCTAGTTAGAACAGAGTCCAGGTTTTCGAGGATAAGCAACGTTTTACTGGTCTAAGAACAAGCGTACATGAGCTGAAATGTACATACAAAAGTTCAGTGTAAGAATAAGCACACAAAAATCATGACAGGTAGCCAGCACTTTTTGGTCATGGTTGACGCTTACAGCTAGTGGCCGGAAACTCTCCAGTAAACTGCCCCACAATTGCCACAGTCCTACAACTCCGAAGATTATTCAGTCGCTTTGGAACTCCATAGACAATGAGTCAGTTCACGTTGTCGACGTTCGCAGAGTTTTGTCGGGAGTATGGCATAACTCATGTCCGCTGGTCGCCATTTCATTCACAGTCGAACGGACTGGTGGAACGCTTTTTTGACACTGAAGCGTGCATTTCGGAAGTCCAAAGGGAAGGAACCAACGAAAGAGATTTTGTAAAGTTTCGTGCTGGCGTATTGAGCTACGCCAAGCCCAAACACTCCTGACATTGTCACCACAAGAAGGTAGCTTCGAACATAGCATGACACTGTCTGGCCACAGAAAAGGAAATTGAGTCAACGTAGCAGGAGAACGGGAACCAATTCAACTAACATCATGGCGCGGCCGCGCGCTCCTTAGCGAAGGCCAGACAGTGTTGGTCCATATTGACAGCGTCAGACACCCTAAGTGGATTCCAGGACACATCCTTTGCTGGCCCGGCAAGGTGCTCTACGAGATTCAGGTTGACCCAACCAGATGGATCCAGCACGCAAATAAAATCCGGCCGACAAATGTGGAGATCCGGCCCACAGGGCCAAGTGAATCGAGCCTCTGGACACTTTTGACCTCGGCATCACTGCGGAAAATCCATCAGCTGCTCCGTCGGAGGCACAGTCTGAGCATGCATTGCGACCGCGACGCTGGACAGCCGGTGAAGCAATTGTTAGTAAACCCTCGACCTCGAAGCTACGTCAACAAATTTCAAGGGAGTATTAGGCGGAATTCAGCACCGATGCCTCTTTACCACTCGCATTTAGGCGCTGCTATACACGATTGACCAGCAGATCGGGCCGCTCGGCAGTCCATCATCAAGGCGAGTTCTGATTGGTCTAAATTATGGATGCAACAGCCAATAATGCCGGTTGCCAGTGGTGTGTACGGGAGGTGTCGGAATTTCCAGCATTCGCTTTATAAACGATGGGCTATGCATGTGTTTTTGACCTGGTTTTGGGCGTTGATGCGTTGTCCACCTTTGATGGTCGTTTTCGCGGGAGCGCCAGCTTCGTTCCGCTTTGCCCAGCTGCCAGGCCAGCCGAGGGGGACGAGGGCTGGGGTACTACTTGTCGACTTCTCCCGTCTGCCTATCTACTTCCCCTGTCTAGGCTTTGGCAACCTGAGAATATCCCAGCCCCCGTGCTTCTTTGTGGTGGAATGGCAGCTGGGCACCAAAAGGCTGTTACAGCCCAAGCCTAAATAGGAGCAGTTGAGATGCCGAGGTTAGGTTCGAACCACGGACCTTCTATTCCGTAAGCTAGCGCCTTAACCACTGAGCCATCTCGAGCTAGTCTGGAGGGTTAAGACCGAGGAGTAAGCTTAGGAAATACCGTTATCACACCCTTCTTGCTGCAAATGACAAGCAGATTCATTTATCGTCAACGCACTGATTGAGCCATCACCTCAAACAGGTGGCTCTCATCTCTTTCTTCTTATCGTCAGTGAGCGAACCTGGGACCACTACACGTAGGTGCACGTTTTGTGAGCTGAGAAAACTGAACTGAAATTCAATTACTGAAAGTGTACCTACTTTTGGTGCGACTCGCCTTCCAGATTTGGGCTCGCGTAATTCCCTTGCGCGTGGCTGGAGACATTGTAAGATATGACTGCTAATCGATTTCAGTGGTGTTGTCATTTTCTCTCCAGATTACCTGAACGAGTGTATGGGGGTGTACGAACGTTTTAATGGTTGTGTTAGGGTACCACTAAGGTCCTTTCTCATTCACTTTTATCCTTCTCTTCTCTCAACTCAGTTATGGATGTATGGCAGCAAAGTATCAACATTGAGCACTGATGCTCTCTTAGGATGGTGATGTTTCATTCCAGAGTGCCCTTATGTTTTGTCTAGAATCCTAACGGTTCAATTGGTTCTAATACGTGTGTACACACCGATAGTTTGGAACAGAAAACGGGAGAGTAAAAGGGTTCACTGTTGCCTTTTTAAGTTATTGAATTTTGTCGGATGATAAACCTCTCACCGACTATTTTTTAAAAGCAGTAGAAACTTTATCCATCTGGTGATTTCAACTACTGCGATGGTTAGATTAGGTAATGTGCGAAATTCCCAGTATGTCCTTTGGATGTTGCATAGTTTTCGAAACCTTAACGGCACAAGCCTGAGGGTCATGTTATCAGCTACTTCTGTTGATTTTGCCGTAATCTATGGCGTTCCCGTTTGGTTTCGTTATTTGAAGAAAGGTTGCTTCATTGGATGTTTGGATAAGAAGGCTTACCTTGAATGTGATTGTTGTTTATCACCATCGTGGGTATCTGAAATCCCCAATTTAGGAACACTATCCTGAATTTCGTTCCGTTGCATTATAGTCAGTTGAACCATTTAACACTGGAACATCTAATTTTCACAGGTTAAATCGAAAATCGGTGGTGTATTTTTCCTGTACAAAAGGTAGGCTTCCTCGGTGCACCGACAAATTATCTTCACCTTCAGATCTAAAGTTCCATTTTACTCGTTCATGATTTTGAACCGAAAGAGCCCAGATATGAACCAAATCGAATTTGTTACCTCATCCTTGCAAATACAGTTGCACGCCCCATTTTTGTTATACAAAACTGCCAAGGGTAAGTTCCCTATTTGGTAACAAATTTGTTTGCAGGCGGTATCTACTCTATTTGGTTCTTCTCCCGTGATGACTGCGTGCGCATAGCTGAACGTATCGGGAAGTAAGTTACCTGACTCCTGTGTACACTGTTATCTAGCTGGTCTGTGAATGCTGTGGTGTGTTTTCTCCGGTAGTAACAATGATCGTTCAGCTGTAATACCCTTTCGGTGCCTAGCTGCCATTGAACCTGAAGCATGCACGAGGGCTAAGCTCTGCCAGGTTGCCCAAGCCTAAAGCGAAGGGTCAAGTAAATCAAAGCTGGAGTCACTTTACCCAAGCACGGATCGTTCTCTCGTACCTAACGTCCGGCTGCTGGCTTAGGTGACCGTGCTTGCCTGTTTCCGTAGTAGGCGGGCAGTCTTGCAATGAAAAGCCCAAATACACTCAGTCTAAACAGGCAGACATCCTTCTGGTTGGTGGTAATTTCGGTTTGCTACACCAGCTTAGCCCATGTATACCTGTTCTCACCGTTGTTCCCGTCCGGAGGTCGATCGTACTATACGCCAGTTTCGTATTTTCGCTTTGCACCCTCCGGATGATGAAGCGTCTTCCGGTTGCTTGGGAACGGTAAACTATAGCCAAGCTTGCTATTGAACCTAAGTTGATCTTATGATAATTCATCCATTCATTTGCTTACTCCGTCCATGTATTTTTGACCTTTGTTTTGCTCATTCGTACCACTCACTCACCTTGCCGCAAAGCCTGTCCCGTCCGACACTTGTTTATTAGCGTGTCTGTATGTGAATGTGCGGAGCTGACCTACTTACCCATGGGCGTTCGTGTCCCGTTTGCTGAGCTTGTCCTGACTTGTTCTCTCATTATTTCCGTCTGATCGCGCCGCCGACCAGAATCACGGGGCTCGTTGAAAGGGATTAGTAACCCACACTACTGAAGGAACGTTCCGCCAATATCTGGTTTGCGGATGCTGACACTGCACCGTGTCGGTCAGTGAGTGACACTTGTGTACTTGTTGACTCTATGAACGTGGACATTTGAGGTTCGTTGTATGCTTACCCTTGTGTAAATAGTACCGTAGAATTTCGAACCCAGTTCTTCCTTTTGATATTCGGGATTGTCGAACCTACGCTTCACCCAAAGTTCCTTATCGGGAACCCCAACACTTGTTTTTAAACATGCCCTGGCACGGTATTGTGATAAAATTAACTTGCTGAGAGATTCAGCTAGGTTCCGGGTGAGTATCCCGTCGAAACCAAGTTTGTGCGCAGATGGGTTTTGTTTTGCCGACGAGTCCTTTTTCCAACCTACCAAAGTACATCTATCTTATGAAATGCGCGACTTTCAAAACCTGACAAAGTTAAGTCTCCGATACTAGCCCTCATGCTTCATTCGGGTGGCCTGGCAGCTGGGCACCGAAAGGGTGCTACAGCTGAACGTTTTCTGTCCTTTTTGGGAATCTTCCTCACGAACCCCGATTTTACCGCTTTCGAAAGAGGCGTTCGAAACTTTCTTTGAGTTTCGCCAGCTTATCAGCAGTATAATTATTTTGTGCCTGTAGTGTGAATGACACCTCATCCGGAGATTCTTTTCATGCTAGTGTTGGTTGCAACTGCAATGAAAGCTACACTGCTCGTGTCCTATTCTTCTCACAGGCTGGCTTTTGATCTCGGTGGCGCAAGTTTGCGCGCGCCTCCTAACACTGACAAAGCTCATGAATCTAACGTTTCAAAAACCTCTCCGTCAGACACGTATCACGGTGGTGCACTTACTACTCATGGCTTGACTGAGTTGCTAAATATGATTCGCCGTTCTGGGGACACTGCCGTCGATCGGGATTCACAGACTCCTATGACTCCATCCAATCGAACATCGGGTCAGCCAAACAGGAGGTCATATGACGACCATTCACCAGGACTGGGGATCTCTCATACATCAGAACACAACCAGGCACCAAATCTGTTTGATATGCTGCATAAAGCTGAGATGGACTTCAATTCCGAGGTAGGTTGGCACAATATTGGCTGTTCCTTACTTCCCACTACCAGTTTGTCAGTGGCCTCGTTATCTTTTACATAAGTAACGGGTGTTTCCCTCTACAGGAGCCTCCTATAAATTCATAATGCTGTGCACTATTTCTCAGTGTGATGTAATGTCCGCTTAAGCGCAACAGGTTTGTTTATTTTTTGGTCACTTTCACGCCAAGCTGTTACGTATTTACGCAGTTTAGTCATTTTACGACAGAAATGTGCGACAGATTGTTTACTACCAACGACTCATATCGATTACGTTTTGAGCATGTTGCTTTTGTGTTTTTCTTACAGAGTTTGCAAAAAACGGACAACAAAACCGGTGAGTCTGCTGCGGTTAGCAATTCATTCATTTCACGTCATGATATGAGCAGTTCAATGAGAACAACATGGTTTTGGTATGGATTGATTTCTTACATTCTCCCACCGGAAAACATGTAAAAAAGCATAGCGTACATAGTACAGTGCAGCTTACTACATTTATGTGGGTCTAAAACAAACTGACCAACCAAGGCATCTCAGGGTGGCCTTTAGATCTTTGAGCATAGGGAATTGGCTTAATAAGACTAATAAACATGGATTCAAGGAACTCCTGTCTCTGTGGCTGTCTGCTTCATGCTGAAGCTTGGAGGGATGAGTTAGACTCATCTCTTTGTCCTTTGCCGACTAGATGACTTGACGAGTTGACTCTGGATTCGATCAGCTTTGAGTTAGGGTCAGCTGACGCAAGGAGTGTTTGACGAGTATTATTTTGTCCGCCTTTCAAGCCTCCTGTCAATTCTACCGATATACATGTAATCGAAACTGCAGGTGAATTAATGAATGCAATCTTTGTTCGCCAGAAATTTTTGCTAATCACAGGGACAGGTTTCAAATTTTTAATACGTCGCCGCATTCTTTAGGAAGGCGTCTCCACCACAAAGTCTAGATGAACTTATTTTCTGATGAGATTCCTTCCCTACGCGGAAGATTTGTAGGCCTTGGTGAGTATAGAGGTGAAAATTCACTCACTGAAAATTCAGTGAGTGAAGTCATCGTATGATGAACAATCGAGAAGCGCTCTACAGCTCTCATTTTAAATGCGGATCGCTTGTGATACTCACTGCATGAACTTCCAGGGAGATTCTTAGCTATTCTTATTAGCTGAACATCATAACATTCTAAAAAAAACGAATTAGCCGTGCAATGTTTATTGGTTTTTCAGTGTAGCATAAATTGATTTCACTTGCAGGATGTAATCCTTATAAATAGACCATTGTCCACTGTTAACATCATTGATTTATTTTCTACGTACATCGCTACGCCACTGGACAGCTTTGTAGCTTGTCCTTTTTTGTTTTGTCCAACAGAGAACGATATAAACAAAGAACTTCAACGGTTACGCACAGCATGCAACATCATCTCTCCTCATTCGAAATCCACTACCGTAACCCAAAAGACGAAGACGCCCGTCCCGTTAGTGCTTTTCATACATTGCTTCTGTGTTCATTTCCACTTTATTTCTGTTTGCTGTCCCTTTCACTCGGAACTTGTCACATAGTCTGATCATGGTTTATTGATCTGGAGGGATGTGGCGAGTGGAGTACGAGTAGAGTACGTGGATTCCACAGTATGGGAATAAATTGTATCCTAGTCTCGCAGAGGCCACTTGGATGTGAGATGGCTCAGTGGTTAGAGCGCGAATTTGCTAACCGGAAGGTCCGTGGTACGAACCTGACTTCTGCATTTCCACTTCCCCTGTCCAGATTTGGGCATCCTTGCAGTATCCCAGCCCTCGTGCTTCATTCGGGTGGCATGGCACCTGGGCACCAAAAAGGTGCCACAGCTGAACGATAGAGGACACTTACAAACTGCTCAGCTTATCCAGAGAGGCCTTCCGTGGCATGTTACTCCAACGGTGTAGCCGATTATTCACCTAATATCATCGAGGATATCAGTTTCCGACTGTTGACTTTATACCTATTTGACAATTGGATATGGGATACATCTTCTAAGATCAGTGTACGTATTGAAACAAGTTGGTGAAGACTGTTCCTCTAAGGAAAATGCCAAACACTAACGGATGGTGTTTTTTCACGGAACCTCTCTCCAGGTTGTAAACTAAAGCTGGAGGGCTTCGGAAGCTCGGAGTTTGATATCTCCGTCAGAAACAAAATAGAATGGCTTGAGGACGGACGACTCTATACAGCTCCGACCGTGGGAACCAGCCTGTTTATTTGGCACCCACTGTTTTGCTTGAGTATCAGCAGTGGCGTGTTATGATAGACAATCTAAAGTGGAGTGGTATTACCTTACAGAACGATCATTTCAGCTATCTCCTTTATTCGGTACTTGTTATTTACCCAATACTTTGTTGCTTGCTGTCCTAGTGTACTGCCAAAACTGGTCCCTTCTGAAGATTCTTTCTTCCAATCTGGAGACCACATTTCGGTGGCTGAATTAGAACAACAGCTCCTTCGAGAACATTCCTGTGTGAGTGAAATTTTTAAAAAGTAGCTTTTTAAAAGTAGCTTCGTTACCCTGTCGCCCCGAGGGCAAAAGGTTTTCATTCTCCGTATTTACAACTTGAGTATTCGTTCAGTTTTTGACGGCTATTGCAGCTCTGGGTTTAGGAACAACTCGGTTTGTGTTTGTTCTCCACTTGCCCAACTCGGCTCGAAGAGCATTGAGTCCATAAGAGCTTACAGTTTCCGTTCCTGGGAAAGAACTCACAACACGTTCTGTCTTGAATAAGGTGCATGAGACGGGCATCGTGTATTTCAATCGTTTGATGTTTAGACCTTCACCGGCCTTATCTGTGCATATGTTATATATTATTCAGTTAGAAACCTCTTGATTTTTTAGTCCATGCATTGCACTCGCTATCTGCCACCCGTACCTAGTAGCTGTCATTTGTAAATATCACAACCTTTGGCTTATCAGATCATTCTTCAGGATTGTGAAAGGTTGGGAACCATACGACCCGATACTCCGGTCGAGAGCGAATGTACTTTATTCTGCAGTGCGATCTATTAGGTTGACCGAACTTGTCAGAAGGGGTAGATGCTGTTCCGCAAAATCGGTCTGTACGACCTTGGAAGCTGGACACAGTCAGGTTGGTGAGTAGTCGGTTCAAACGGCAATTCGGTATGAACAATGAACCACACACTTTGTAGCTCAGTCTACGAGAGATATTCACCAGCTGTTTGCTCCTGAGAAATTAGACCTGATCAGGTATGTGTGACACACTTGACAGATTTTGAGAGGTTGTTGGTATTGTAATAATATTTTGGAATTTTTCGGTCGAACTTTCGCCGCTTGTGGCATAGCGCCATAGACCTCAACTAATAGACGGAGTCTTCTGGAGATTCTTGAGATGCATGCTGTTCGTGATTCCTAATAAAGATGAAACAGTCGTACAGCGCTTCTCGACTCTTCAGCGTAGACCCACTTCACTCTCAAAACGAAATCTCGACTGAAAGATTTTGAGAACCAGACGGACTGTATGTAGTCCGAGCACCAAAATTATTAACTCAAAGCCGACTACCTTCACGGTTACACCTTATCGTTTGTAAAAAAAGAACTGATAACATCTTATCTTGTCCCTGTATGTTTCCATTGTGTGCATTCCTGAAGTCACTTTTTAGGTCGAAACGAAGAAAACTGATTGCGATGTAAGTATCTCGCACACATTTTGCGCGCATATTTTGATTTATCCAGGCGTGACTCGTACTTTTGCGTATATCCACCTGAGTATGTCTTTGAATATGGCTTACTCTGATTCGTGTCATTTGTGCGTTTCGTTTCCCATCAGATCCCTGGCTACTTTGCTAGGGATGATGCTACAGACGGAAGTTCGAACGATGACCAGTGCGCCCAGGCGAAACCGGATGTATTTCAGACTTCCAAGACTTCATTGACCGGTGTACCTATTCGGTCTTCTGTCGGCAATACGAGTAACCCTTCTCGGCTGTTGAGTGACCTGGATGCAGGATATGCAGATGATATTGACGAGACGTGCGAAGATGATTCACGTCGTGGGCGCGTAGGTATTCATCGCAAACAGCGTCGTCACATCCGTCAACGTGAAACTGTCCGAACATCAGGCGATCGCATATCTTCTGAAGAATGGGGCCAAAATGCAGATCAAAGTTGCACCTTGAATGTCTACAGTCGTGAAGAGGCTAAGGATGGTGTGGTTCAAGAAGAAACCCTGGTTACCCCAGCAATGCTCTGCAGTCCTCCTTCAGCATTCGTAACCTACCAAAAGACACAAACTACCCCAACATTTGCTTCTACGGGACTTTCTCAAACTACAGTGTTATTAGAGTCGAAGAATTCGCGTACCACAGGGAACGAGGGTTTAACCAAAGAACAACTACGGGAGGCGTTGATTTACATGCTCCAAGTTAGTAGACGTCTAATTCTGTCACCTGATTTTACTTTGCCTCTCCCATTTTAATGGGTCGGAAGTTGCTAAACGCCACATATCCTTGGTGAGCTAGAAGTGTATATTATGGTGATTTCCGGTGTATCTGTGTGCCTTTCTTAACTGCATGACGGCACGAGGAAATGTACTCCCAAATGTTTAATGAGTTCACATCATTTCGAATTAGGTGCCGTCAAACTAAGTATCTCGGTTTCTCCTAGCAGCTGTCGTCCGTTTTCATGTCACTCATTTGCATGTTCCATCGTAGGGTCTATCCAAAAGGACGCTGAGGTAACAATTTACTCAATCTACTCTGATTGACTGAAAGCAATCTACCCAGTTTTTGTTTACACCATAATTGCTTGTTGTGTTCATTAGTGGTGCAGTCCATTCGCTAGTCCCTTGAGTTAACGTTGGTTTAATTTGGTACAAATTAAAATTACGAGCCGCTGCTTCTTCTTGTCTCGACAACCGTGGGAGCCTTCAGCTAGCTCATCTTGATGCGTCTCCTATGTTAGCGTCCACGTCTGGATGTCAAGGCGTCATCACCAGTGCTACTGTCCATTGGTTAACCAGTGTCTCACTCTCTTGTCATACCAGCTTAGTGACAGATCTTTATGTTGGATTACTGTTTATGCTTTGGCAAATTAGCTGGTGTAGCTATTATTAGGAATCAATCTCGGAATCAATCTACTTCCTGACACTACTTGCATTGGTATCCACCGACGGCTTACTCAGTCGTTCGTCGTATCGGCCATCACACAACGGCCAGTCAATCCACTTTGTCCGTGCACTACGCGTATATTGGACGACATACTCGTTCGTTCCGTTGCAATGTTTGCTCTTAATGCATTCACATAGCTTTTCTGTAGAAAACTTTGCGGGTTCTATCTGTATAGGGGGTATCATTGAAAACGTGTGGTCTGTTTACCCGCTCCTGTTTATAATGTTTTTTGCTCGACGATTTGACTACAAGTGATTACTAATGGCGCTCAGATACCGTCCTACAGTTGAGGATAGCTGCTGTCTATACTAGCTTTGGCCATACTGAAAGTTGTCACTAATACCTAACGGCGTGACAGCAAATACTGGACTCGATGTTGCGCGTTTTTACTAGTACGCGACACCGTCCTGCAGTTATTGATCGTCCATATCCCCGTGATGATATTTCGCAGTTGAATTTGTCGTATTGTTACTTATGTTAAGATCGTGCTCATACTGTCAACCCATGTTGATTGAATATTGTAATCTAGGTTTTCTCTACTTTTTTTTCTGTTCAGAATGACGACAGCTTTCTACATCAACTGCATTCGGCATACATGATGTCCCTTCAACGCCGGCTTTCTAACTCATGACGGACCTATGGTTACTCCAACTGCATACCTCGCTGCTTTTCTACCCTCTGCCAGGACAACCATAGTGTTTTCTTTTTCTTCTTTCATATTCTTGTTGAGTCCCCCCTGGGGACCCTTGCCTTTCATACTTTGGTAACCATTTGATCTTTCTCATGTCATCCATCCTTTCCCAGTCGCAGTCAGATCCGTCCACAGCATTTCCTTCCATTGCCCAATCCATATTCCCCTCTTGAGCTCCATCGTTCCGGTCAGTTTTGAAAAATGTTTTCGTAGATAACTACCTGCTTTTATGGGTACTTTTTCTATAGCTCGCTAAATTCTCGATTAGGTGGTCAGTTAGTGGACGTATCCCTGTTGCACCTGTCCTCTTCTGTAACACCAAATAGAGACAAAATTTCCAAAGTCAATCTTTCCCTGAAATGACCTGTATAGAACAGGCGATGTGATTGAGGGATGGCGAGAGTGGATTTCCAAGGTATAAATCAATGGGCCTCCATGGGTTCTCAGATTGTTATTTTTGTCGCCTCACTGGTCGTGTCTATTCCTGCCATATCCACGTTCCAGTGTTATACACTTCCGTAGGTCAGCACGATCAAAATTTGTCTCTCGTATTGGTCTCGTTCGACAATTCGTGTCTCACTAAGTGCTCATCGTGTATACCGTGCATTAAAAGTTTGCGCTTTAATCACTGAGCTATCTAGAGCGCAGCCTACTGACCGGAAGGTCCTTGTTCGAACCGAACCCTAGCATCTCGTCTTCTGCTGCCTAGGCTTGGGCAGTCTGACAATACCTCGGCCCTCGGACTTCCTTCGGTTGAAGTGGCAGTTATGCACCGAAGTGGTGTTAGCCGAACCGTTGCTGCCTCTGAGCAAATATGTTCATTCGACCGATTGGTCGTCTCACCGGCTCCTGTTAATCTTAATTCGATGTTTAGTGACACTCGGCAGCTCAAACAGTGATCAAGTCACTGTCCATGTTCTGACTGAAGTCATTCTTGTCAGCACTCCGGTCAGACAGCGTCAAAGCCGCCCAGACCTGAGATAAAATTGTGGAAATGTGACCATTCTCATGTGTTGAGGCTTAACGATTCATTTGCGTCCAACGAAGGTATACCAGCGTAAAACAGTTGTTGATAGTGGATAGGTAATCTGATTCCAGGTGACTTGAGAGGTGCAAGACTCCATCATCGGAAACAGAATGCAGGTCGTATCGCGTACCTTGCTTAACCACGGTTCTGGTTTAAATATTATGAGCAAGGTCACCTTCCTGAAAGCAACCACTGAATGCCCGGAATCTACGGAGACTCTCGGCTCCACTGGGTGTTGACCAGACAGACAACGCCCCCTCAATATGCAACGCGTCACACCTTGCATCAAACCCAGACAGCGCGAGTCAGCGTTGATCAAGGACAGACAACGTCTCCGCAACATGCAGCACGTCGCTGCCTCGTACTAAAGCCAGACCGCGTGCGTCAGCATTGGACCAAGTTCAGACAGTGTCCTTCCAATAAAAAGCTTGAGGCCGTTGTACTTTTCGCACTCGCGCTCTCGCAGTCACTTTTTTGGACTATAGCTATTGTGTTCCCTTCCGTGAGTCTTTTTCTCTCCGACACTGGAGCGGGTCAGCAGCAGATACCACAGGCCGGCGAATCAGCAGATATAACAGATTGGCGACGCCCAAACCCACAGAATCATGACAATAACTGCTGAAGCGTTGAAAGAAATTCTGCTACAACAACAAAACCAGTTTGAAGCGGCGCAATTACGTTTGGTGTAAACATTGGCGCAGCAACTGAAAATTCAACCACCAAATTGCAACTGAAAAACCACCAAATTCCGCTCCAGATACAAATTCAGTCGACTTGATCGCCAACAGCATCACGGAGTTCCATTATGACCCTGATTGATGGTTCAGACGTTAGGAAACTGTTTTCCAAGTCGAACTGAAACACAAAGATGATACCTGGGGAGTACGCTTATTGCTCAGAAAGCTTGAAACAACGGAGCACACACGGTATCCCAACTTTATTCTGCCTGATCTCAGTTTTGACAAAACCGTGCAGCAACTTTCAATGATTTTCGGTGAGCGTT